TTATTTACAGCAATGGACTCAAGTTCTTCCTTCGCCAGTAGATCTCAGCTTTCACACATGCAGTAAGTTTGGGAATTTGTGTGTACACACTCTGCCGACAATTCAGATCAGAGACATGAGATCGCCCCAATAGCTTCAATAGAACAAGAATTATGGTGGACGGCACCTATGCTTACTTGAAGATTTTTTTAACCTGAAAAAGCTGTCTATTAAACTTTTCATTACCTTTTGTCAAATACAACAATAATTCTTGATATTTTTATTTACAACTAAAGCCAAGTAATTATATGGTATTTCGTCATTCAAAAGATCATGTAATTTACTGCAAGATTATTGGCATGCTGTTTCTCTTTAGGAAAGAGTTCTCTTGCGTCACTTGTGGGCAATATTGTTCAAATACATGCACACATTTCCTCAAAGTTTTTAGCTCGATTCATTGAAGTGTTTGCGCTTATCGCCGTTCTTGCACCAGTTTTTTTCATTATTTTGTTGTTGTGAGTGTCTCCTAAGGATATGAGATTACCATATTGATCCCTCTATTGAATATCTCATCTATAGTTGCATAAATAACGACCAAATCTTTACTGCATATACAACTGAAAACTCTCTAAAAAAATAAAAATAAAATCATCTTAAATAATTACTTTATTAATGTGTACTGCCTATCATTAAAACTTGCTCAGTGACACGCTTATATTTTAGTATTACACCATAAAGATTGTTTAGCCTAAAACTTCATAATCATCAGTGTAGTTTCATACAGTCTATCGAAATATTTAAAAAGAAATGGGAAAAAAATCACGGTACCTATCACTATGGTTCGAACTTCTAAAGAGAGAAGGTAGATATGGTAATCAAGAATTCGCAAAAAATCATTATTTTTATTGAGAGCAAGTTCATATCACATTTCCACGACAAATAATAAAAAAATGACTAGTATGTACGATTTTCGAAATCAGTATGTACAAATACACAGAAATCTCTACATTTCATTGGAAAATATGTCTGATTAAAATTTTCGCTCTACTTCCATTTCAGTGTGTATTCGTAAAATTTGATTGGAATTTGATACCCACGTATTTTTGAACGTTTATTTCAAACATTATACTTGTTTTCAATAAAAAACAATATTATTTTATCAAGACATGTCAATGTATTCTCATGCGCTTCTCAACGTGTCTTGTCATTTATTAAAGCATATTCATCTACATTATGCAATTGATCGAGATCATTACAGTGACTGTACATATTGGTATCGATACATATGCATATTCAAATGGATCAGGTGAATTCATTGTTTTGATATATTCCATGTCAACGAAATAGAACTTATACTTAACAACTGCCTGTAGAGCTAACACATTACAGGAAACAGGATTAGATATTAAACATTTTTTGATCATCTTTCGAGATAATTGAAAGTTTCGACATACCTAAGCGAAGTCATGAATATGTGAGATTGTAGAGAGTCAAAAGGCGTGCCTTTAATTAAAACAAAACGGCTTCTACACGCTTTATAAACACTTGAGGCAAAATATTCGACACCTAAAAAATTTTGTTTTGCACTAAGAGGTTCTACCAATGTTAACAAGGAAGTGGGTGTACCCGCATCCACATCCCATTTTTAGCCTATTATGAATTTTGGACACACAGTATATTCTTGCGAGTCGCATTTTATATTATTCTGCTTAAATACAATAGCAGTATGTTATCAGTTTACTTTTCGTATCATCATATCAGATGTCAGTAGAGAAACCGAAGTTTTATCGGGCTTGTAGCACGATGCTGTTACATCAAGTAATGTATGCTTTCTTTTTCCTGGTTATTACTGTTGTCCAGTGCAATAATCATTTCAATGTCAATGGTCCATTTGGTAAACATCACTCAATCAAAAATGTTCCGAGTCCGTACGGTTGTAATCGATCATTGGGAATTTTACTTTCTTCAATATCATTGTCAACCATGAATACAACGACATTGAATGTATCATCAACATTCTACGTTAGCAATCAACAAATTGTCGTTACTTGGCCAACAATGTCTTCGTCATGTAATGATGATTTTATTGGCATTTATTTTATTGACATTCCACTTCTTACAGGTGACATACAACTCGATTCAAATTAGAATATTTTATTCTACTCATAAAAAATTTTCTTTTGAATTAATTAGGTGCATGCAGCTACTTTGATTATGAATTTATTCAAACAAATGAAACGAGTATGTCATGGCAAATGATTAATTTACGTCGTCCACTTGAATTTCGCTATTATTCACGTGAGAACAATTGCTCAGGAAATTATTCATTTGTTGCAAAATCTCCAATTGTTCAGCCATTCAATTACAATGCACCAGAACAAATTCATTTGGCTTATGGTGATAGAATCGATCAAATGATTGTTTCATTTGTAACGAATTCTTCTGAGAACATATCTGAATGTCAATATGGTTTGGATCCATCATTGCTTCAATGGCATATTCAAGGAACGACAATCACTTATACAGCATCAGACATGTGCGAAGGTCAAGCAAATGTTCCGGGTCCACAAACATTTATTGATCCTGGCTATATGCATACGATTATTCTTGAAGATATTCGTCCATCAACAACTTATTTCTATCGAGTAGGAAATGACCAACACGGTTGGTCATCAGTGCGCTCATTTACCAACCGTCCGGCCGATGATGTTAATGCAAAAGTAACACTTATCGCCTACGGTGATATGGGTGTAGCACCTGTTCAACCTGGTGCCAAATCGACCATGGATCGAGTTCGAGCACAAGTAATGACTAATAATATCACATGTGTTTTACATATTGGTGATATTAGTTATGCACGAGGAATTGGTGCACTTTGGGATGCTTTTATGACTCAAATCGATACAATTGCATCTCGTGTGCCATATATGGTTGGAATCGGAAACCATGAATACGATCATGTCACAGGAGGAGATAAAGATCCAAGTGGAGCACCAGGTCCTGGAGGATTTCGACCATCATGGTAAATCATTGTTTAGATAAGATGTTTTTTTCTTTATCAGAATACCTTTTATATGGTAATGCTGCTTTTTTTCTATACCTAGGGGCAACTACGGTTATGATTCAGCTGGTGAATGTGCTGTTCCAATGGTACGTCGTTTTCATTCACCATCCAATGGTAATGGCCTCTTCTGGTACAGTTTCGATGTGGGTCCTGTTCATATTGTCTACTTTTCTACGGAACATGACTTTCTTCCTTCATCATCACAACATGCTTGGCTTGAACATGATCTTAGTTCTGTAAATCGCTCTCGTACACCATGGTTAATTGTTGGATCACATCGACCAATGTATTCGTCAATAGTACGCGATGTCGGTGATCCAATAACGGCAATGTTACAACTGTCGCTAGAATCAATGTTTTATAAATATCATGTGGATATTAATCTTTTTGCACATATACATTCTTACGAACGATCATGTCCTATGTATCAAGAGAAATGTGCCGATAATGGAATTATACATGTATTAATCGGAATGGCCGGACACAATTTGGATTTCGATACATATACAGGAGCAAAATGGAGTTTGTATCACGATCAACAGTTTGGTTACACTCAAATTTCGGCTAATAGAACTTATTTACGTTTTAGTTATCATCAAAATGTAGATGATACAATAGTTGATGAGTTTGAGCTGACGAAATGATTTGCCTACAAAACAAAAATCTTCATATTATTATTATTTTGATTAAAATAACTTGTATTCGATCAGTGGAAGAATAAAAATCAATCATGCATATATCACAATGCAAACGAATATTTTCAATGAGACTTTACTATGTTCTAGTCTGTACAACGCAACTAAATAGATCACGTTACGCTATGATAGTAAAAGCGCGGACAGGAGACGAGTTCAAAAAACTGTTGGGCAACGAAAAAAAATTTACTCTTAGTACGAAAATGACTGTGCTACAAGTTCATGTTGATTTTCGTTTCGCGAAAAGTAAAAATTGCAATAGCGTAGCTATCTTACAATCTTTCAATCTAGCTTTGCGAGTATTTCTGATTTTTTCTTTTTGAACATCTACATTTTCGGTGGTAACATTATTAGAAAGCTTTCTGGCGTTCCATAAAAACTCGAGATAGCAGATTTTCTTTGATGAATTTTTAAAAATCTTTGCCTCACGAGATTAGTTTGTTTTTTGGACACTGTAGGTGGTTTTTGCAGAACTCTAACCAGCCTAGAATATTGAGAATGAATTTTTGAAGTTGATTTGTTTAACCTTATTAATTCTAAATAGAAAAAACACAATGTTTTTCATTCATCTTTGATGCCGAATCAAAATAAAATGTTTTTATAAACTTTGAAAAAAAAATGGCATAATCGAAATTCAACAACTTACATGCCAGACTATTGTATTAAGTGAGAAGCCGTTATATGGTTATTTATTTATGTAATTAAGATTTAATCGAATTATTATTTAACATTTGTCATTTATTATAGATTTGTACTTTATAGACTGATAAGAGATAACAAAATGAATAACTCTGCTACTGATCAAACTTAATCAAATCCTTTTTTTTGTTTATTGGGAATAGGAAACTACGTAGTAAGCTGTAATTCGTAAAGATCAAGTTCATTAACAGTATAGAAAATGTGACACTTTCAACTACATATTAAAAATTAGACTTTTGTCAATGCCATTAACAATATGCACCGACTTTGTTTTTCGACCTTGCAGATCTTTGATTATTGCTTTTTCATGATTTGTTTCACTTTCGTTATCCTTATTGATGAACCTATATTCTCAATAAAACTGTAATATGTGCTCATTCTATATCTATTATTTAAAAGAATTATCTTATGGCAAGGTTATAGTCTTCAATACTATTACTATTGACATATAAATTCCTTGTCTTTCATATAGTACATAACAAATCGTACAAAAAAATTAATAAAATGTCATCATTTTAGACCAACCGAATTACCGATGGTTAATACTTTTTCTACTTATTTAATCATTTTCTATTATATCGAGACTGCAGTTTTTGTAATAGATAACAGAATAATTTCTTCAATTTGAGTTGAACTTCAGGTAACGATGCATAACAAACAAATGGTAAAAGAAATATAAAATAGTCAGAGAAAAAAAATGCATAAGTCATAATATTTAACGCAATCTTTTTGAGAGAACTAAATTGAACACAAATCATTACAAGTATCCATGGACCATAGAATAAAAAATAAAGCATTGAAATCGATAATATTTGAACTATCATTCTTCGTTGTTTTGTCCAATCAGCAGATTGATAAAAGGAAGTTTTTTGCCATCGAACACGCAGTAAAAGAACTATACTAAGAATAATAATAATGAATGATGGAATGATTTGATGACATATAAGATCGAAATGTTTAATATTTCGATGATTTAACATACAAAGATAAGAAATAACATTAGAATTCGATTGATTATTTATGTTGAAACAAGATGAAAATAAAATAAAGAGACAATACCAAACAAGACAATAGACAATCAATATTATTATCGGAAGATAATGAATATAAAAACGTTTTTCTTTTGTTAATAGCCAATGACCATGAAATATAAGTATATGTCTTTCAATAGTAGCCCAAGCAAGAATTATCAATTGACTTCGATTTAATACAATATCAATAGATGACCAAAATCTATATGATATTGATCTTGTTTCCCAAGATGTATCAAAATAATAATTATAAACGATAAATGGAATACAAATTGATTCATAAAATAAACATATGAAAAGAAGAACAATAATAACATGATTGTGAAGTTCAGTACGAAGAGTTCGATCAATTAAAAGATAAAATAGAACAAAACAACAACATAATATTGATAATATATTTGAAATAAGATATAACCATAATTGAACAGAACGAGAAATTTCATAATTTATATTAGACTGATTTTCGATATATGCATCGATTAAGTTTGACATTAACCAGAAATAAACTCTTAAAAATAAATTATTATTCGTTAAATTTATATTCTTTTTTTTTCAATGGCGCCAATTAAAAATTTATTTTCTTAAAAAAGATAATATTGAAACTCAAATAGATATATTTGACCATTGAAAAATTTCATGTACTGATTTAAAAAAACAAGTTTATAGATAATAGTATTCTAGACGAGGGTTTCGATCCTTAAAGACAGTTATAAGTAGTCTAGTTCTTATCGTATATAATTTAATATATCTACTTTGATCCAGCTAGGTTGTGAAGGAAGAGTAGATTTGTGCCTGAACACGTCACACCCATGCTCGATAAAACAGCATCTTCTCCATCAATTCATTTCATTGAAAGGAATATTTAATTTTTGAATACCACATTTTCATCTTTACGCTAAGTGATTAATATTTGATGAAGTCTGTTGTCAAAAATAAAGAGATTGAAAATGTTGTTCGCCATGTTTTAGTTTTTTGAAATTTTTCTTCTGTGAAATTTCTAAGATGATCAATATTCAAAGATATTTTCTTAAGAGAAAACTATTTCAATTCTAAGGATTGATCGATTTTATATTTTTGTGACAAAATGGAAGACAAGATTAGATGAACAATTGTGCGAATTTATCTAGTTCTTTTAAAGGTGATAATGACTTCTTGTTAAATATGAATCAATGGATTTCGTGTATGATATTAAGAGAGACAAGTGTGCAAACTACATCAATTAATCAACATTATTTAATGGAGTTGATCTTTCATCAAAATATTCTTCAGTTTCATTTCCAAGTTTTTTCTCACAGTTCTTTCCCATTCCTGATCAGTAAATTCATATTTACATTCCGTAATAGAGTATTCATTGATTTGTACTTCTTTCGTTTCGGTTGACTTCAATTCAGCTGTTTTTTCAGACCATCCTCTCATTTCTTCATTGTTAGTATCAGTCTGTATTACAATGGTACTGATGCCTAATTTGTCAAATGCAAAAACTATCGATGTATACAGAGCTTCTGTGGCGTATCCTTTTCGACTTGCATTGCGATCGATAATAATACCCAAATAACCGGTGTCGTCGGCTATTACATAGCTTACCACACCAATACAACGATCTTGCTTTTCACCAGAAGCAGAAGCTAATAAAATAATATTAAGTACACAGCTCTTTCCTTGAGATCGTGTCCCTTTTTGTGTGCTAACTCTATCAATCATGTCCTGTTCCGTCCATCGTTTATTCTTCTTTCTTTCTTCGTCATCTCCCCAACCTTTCGGCGGTTGAAGAAAGGACAGATATTTCATGTTAATAGGATCTGAAAAAATTGACACCAAACTTGAAGTATCACAATCTTCATGAGTTCGTAGAATGAGGCGACCGAGGTATGAATGAATCGACACGGGACTCGTCTTGACTTGGTCTTCAAAACGACGAACAGAGTTTTTACTGGAGATATTGAACATTTGTCTGAATCAGTAACAATACAATGAAACGTCGATCACTCAGTAGTTAGTTGTACACTGATTCTATCTGAAAATAATAAATCATTGAGCGTAATTCCTACGAGATTAAAATGTGAAACTCAATGAATTCGTTCTTCTCTCCAACGAGACTTCTACCAACATTGATTATATTATCCTTGAGCCAAAGCCGATAAGAACTATGATATCAGGATGATTTACGATCTGTATTCCACCGTCAAGCCGTACACAACAATCCGAAGCCATGTTATGATATTGTTTTGTATCCGTCTCTGTGCCATTCTGTTCTACTTGAGAGGGTGATTTGAACTAAGACATCAAAATTTGTCTTACGGTCTGTGTCGTTAGAGAACTTTATCCACCCTGTCTTGTTGTTACGGTCTATGTAGCAGGGCAGAGGGGGTTCAGCTTTCTCACTATGTAATTAAATATTCATCACCAATTGTATTTTACAATATTCCCGTTCATAATAAACACGTCGCCTCTAGTTTTCGATCTTTGATTGTGAAGATGACATTAACATGAATTCCATGTCTCGTAATCACTAAATGCAAAACATCTAACACCAAACTAACCAAATAGTTTCTAAACAGTATATGAGAAACAATCTAATTGGATGAAAATGTCTCACTGCTCCAAACGCTTTTTTCTATTCACATGTGTCAAGAGACTTTGAAGATATGCGGTATGATATCAGAATAGTAAGAACAGAAAGAAAGAGGCATCATAATCACAATGCGAAAGATAACAGTCAAAATAGAGATTGAAACAGTAGCCTATATGTTTGTGCAGCTGGAAGAAAATTTGATGTGACTGTGGGTGAACTGAAAAACTGCACCTGTAACGTTCAAGTTTGACATATATCTATTAGTTAGTTTGTGTTATCGATAAAAGTGAGAAGTTATGCCAAAAATATCAATTTTTTATTTTGGAAAACGTATTCGACTGCCATAAATATTAGGCTTGTACATCATTATTTTGAAAGCAAATATAATTCGATATTATCTGAAAAAAACATACAATATTATTTTCAGTAGCAACGTTTACCACAAAAAAACAGGTTATCGTATGGTCGTTTTCTATCGGTAAATGAGACGTTTCCAAAATAGCTTAGCAAAAAGAATAATCAATTTTCTGTGATAACTTAAAGTGAGCATAAAAATAGAATATATTACAAAAAATAAAGTACAGTATTGTGTTGTTTTATTCGAGATCATCTATTGGAAAGGAAATCAAATAGATATGTTCCTCTTGTTGTCCTATATTGTATTTTTGATCGAAGTTAAATCGAATGACTGGTCGATATCTGCGAAAATATTGGTCCAGTTCATCATTAAGATAAATAAAATCGTTCACAGGAAGACAACACCATCAAGTCGTGAGTCACACTTGCTTATTCTGTAAAAAGAGTTGTTTTTTTTCAGACTATGCTGTATTTTCCAAAATCTCTATTTCGTTTCGGCAAGAACGTATATATGTGCAGATTTCCGAAAAAAGAAATTACCAAAATTTTGATAGCTTTTAAGTATAAAAAGTAGCGCAGATTATGAAGAGAAAAAATTCTAAATATTTTGGAAGGTCTGAAGTTTCAGTTTTTCATGAATCCGGACGTTGCTACTAACAAAAAAGGGTTTTCTTGCTGGAATCGAAAAACACAGAGCTTCGACAAAAAATACAGTGGAGTCCAAACTTAATCGTTCTGGAGAGAACACTTATTCTGTGAATTACGCTATTGCTGTTGCTCTGATTTTCTTTTGTACACAAAGAGTTGCATATGTGTTGTTTTCAGCTGCTCTCTCTAACTCATAAGCTCAATCGAGTGAAACGGTTTCTGATTAATATTATGGATGCTGCAACTAAACTGATAAATTTTTTGATCGATGATTAACCAGAAGGAAACTTGCAAGAAATGTGTTCAACGAATTAGTTATGCGTAAGTAGTCATGATTGCTAGCTCAAGTATTTGATGGAAGGAAAGCTTGATTTACTCATTGTTGTGAAGTTTCAATCTGCCAGTGCTACTACTTTTGGTAAGGCGTAAATATTTTGTAGATTTACGAAAGCTCTGTCGAGTCTGTAACTTTTTCTATTATAACTAATCATCTAACAGTTGCGTCAGAAAAATCACGTTTATTGTCATTCCATAGCATTGATTAGTTATAATATTTCAAAAAGCGATATAATCCGATAAACAATACTTTTTGATCACTGCAATGCTATAAATCTTATTTTGAAAAATAAAATAGCAGTAGTTTCTATTTCTCTTTTCTCAAAGTAACTCGTATATCACCTTTTCATATTTGATCATTGTAAAAACTTTGCGTCTATATGCTCACACGTATGTTCTTATTCTTCTATCCTTATATCTATGTGCTTACCTGTAAACTCTTATACTTATACCCTTACATTTACGGCTTATACCTATACTTCAATACGTATGTCATTATGTCTATATAGCTATAGTTTTACTCCTAGATCTATACTCTATTAGATCTGTTTTTTTTTAATAAACAGAACAACATTTTTGTAAAAAATTTATCTGACAAAAACATTCTCTATATCTTTGTTTACGTTCAACTTAACTTGATTGTAATATAATGAGTTCATTAAATGAATACAGAAGACATAAAAGAAAGAAAAATAGATACAAGTTTTCACAATATATTAGTTTGTATGTCGGAGGAACAGAAGATAGAAAGATATGCAAAGAACTGGATGTGGGTGTGAGAAAGGAAAATAAACCAACATCCACTACCAACCACAGAAGCCAATCTTGATACTCGTATTAATGACTTCTCTATTAATGCTGCTCTAATAATAAAGACTATTTCTATATAGTTTGACTTTATTTTACAAAGTTACACATCAATTTGATAAGAATCCAGATTCGATACTTGAGTTTTCAATCTTTCTAGATCTTTTAAAGTCGACTTGAATATGTTTCTTGAATTCTTCAATGTTTATTTATTTTTTATTATGAATAAAACATTTACTACTTTTCTTCATATTAGCTTCTTGTTTAATATTAATACAAGAATTTTTTAAATGTATACTGTTGACATAAAATCTTTCGTATTGCAATAAATATCGATAAATATACAAAAATTAACCGAATATTAATCTATTAAATAAGTAGATAATAATCAAATATGAATTTGAAAAAGCTATAATACGATTTAGATAAAAGCATGAGTGGGAACTACTCTTTAGAATCTATTGTAGCGAAGAAAAACAATACACGCGATGCATTTAATATGAACTTTTCTCTTTAAAGTTTTATCAATAATTTTTCATCTTGCTCAGAAATCAGTTCAGGCATGAACATGTACGTATATGTTGTATAAATGTTAGACATGTGACCTTCGAATTAGCAATATACCTTTCAACGTCCATGAGATAATATATTTATAGAAAAGCGTTCAATTCTGTTTAAAAAAGGTAGTTATGATAAGCCAATATTGAGCTCATTAATGCATTGCCAAAAGAAAAAGAATAATTCGAAGTTTTGTATAACTCATTACTGCATT